CGTCTATATCAGTTAGAATAGAATATTATATGCAATCATTCTGCTCACAGTCCAGCAGCTAGAATAACTTCTTATCATTCTCATTGCCGTCCTCGCCTCAAGCCATGTTGCAAAGTATGCTACCACACAAAAACCACAGCATCATTTAAAAGCTCGGCAGCAATCTTTACACTTATGAATGAAGGAAACCTTTGCTGCTACACAGGAAACTGTATATGTCTACTTGAATGCTCAACTTGTAGTTTTCAGTACGTAGGGCAGACCTAAATACCATTTAGATTGCGATTTAACAATTAAAAGCGCACGTAACCACGCTTCCGAACCTGCCTCTATCAAAACACGTCAGCATGCCAGGACACTGGCTTGATATGCTAAAGACTACGGTATTCAAATAGCGTTTTAAAACTCATCATCAGAAGGAGGTGGGTGAATGATTTCTCATCTACAAACTGAGGGAAGTATCAACTAGCGTTAACGAAATTTTGGGCGCACTGACAATGTAACCAGCGTAAAAGTTGCGTAAGATTGCTAAATCGAACTCGGTGTTTTATTTCAGTGATTGTGGCTTTTTCCGCGGTTGCACACAAATGAACTTTTTTTCAGCTGCTTTCAATAGTTGTTATGACGCATGCCATTCGTTGAAGAAGCTTTCACTGTAGTTACCACTTTTACTGCTTCTTCTATTGTCTGTTGTTGGTATACTATTGTTAACTTCTTCAGCTGCATTTTTTACGCATTTTCACTTTTTGTTTGTCGTTATAATACTCATGTTAGGTCATTTTGATGCATCTTGACTAACGTCGCCACTGTATGTTTGATGCTGGTACACTCATGTTAGCATATGTTCGTGCACCTTGTTCCACATTTTCATTTCAAATTTCAACTGTTGTTTGTGCTTGTTCTACACCTGATAATGTTATGCTTTTATAGCGCAGTTTATTCTATGTATATCTTCACCGATGTTAGCATTGGTTTAAATCTTTATAACCCGCGCCTACACTTGAAAAGGTATTGGTTTTTTTAAGACTGACTTTTGCACGTTTTGTCACATCTTCGTGCTACAATCCCATCGAACAAATGCCCCTTGGTTCACATCAGTTTGCGAACCTTGTATATCTCACGCTTGCAACGATATACTTACACATGTGTTGGAAGCCAGCTGTCGTACATTGTATATAGGGAGTGCAATTCTATTATGTCTTGTATTCCATGCCGAAGCGAAGGCCTGACCCTGGCTGAACTGTTGGAATAAAAAGTTTTCCTACAGTTGTCCGTTATTTCTACCTTTTAAAAATCTGTATCCACTTGAACGTTCTCTCTCTCTCTCTCTCTCTCTCTCTCTCTCTATATATATATATATATATATATATAAATATATATATATATATATATATATATATATATATATATATATATATATATATATATATATATATATATATATATAATGCACATGAAACGGGCGGGATGTGTCTTTCTGCATCTGAATCTTTCTGAAAACTCACTCATCACTTCTCAGTTGTGCTCTGTCTCATGCCCCGCTGCAAATATGTTAACGTTTTTTTTGCACCTTAAAATAAATTATGAACTTACACCAACACATCCGACCATACTTGAAAAATTGAATTTCTGCACAAACTTGAAGAAAAAAACAAGAGAGACAGGAAAGAGTGCAGTACTGCAGAAAGTGTGACTGCACTCTTTCTTGTCTCTCTTGTTTTTTTCTTCAAGTTTGTGCAGCAATTCAATTTTTCAAGTGTGAACCAACTAGTCTGCAAAAAAGTATTGCTTCAACATCCGACCAAACGTTATCGTAGCCCCATTCCCGAGTCCTCGCCTCAGAACTTCTCGTTTTTATAACCTTCATTTCCACTTCCACCCTCCACTTCTGCTTCTGACAACTCTCCATCACTCTTTGTTCAACCATTTCCCTTTGTTATTCTTGGTTTTCCTCGAACCTAATGAACTCTGTAGTGCTATGGTGCATTGAGGTGTGAGTTATCGCAAACAATACTCAAACAATAGTCTAAAGCAGTTCCACTGTTAAAACTGAAATTTCCTGTCAGACATGCTTTTTCATCCTTCCGCAATAACCTCCAACCCCCCACAACGATACGGCTTTGCAGTCTGCAAAATAACACCACTTTAATCTAAAAGCGTGGACGCTTAGAGCGAGCAAAACCAAAGTCAGCCGCGAGCCCACGCTACTTGTGGAAAAACATGAGTGTGTGGAGGCCCCGCCTCCATAGCCTTCGCTCCAATGTCAACAAAAATAATCGCCAAGAATAGTAGGACTCGCTGTTGGCCTAGTTTGTTAACAAAACTTCAAAGTGAATAATCGTGCAAAAAAAGACTGGTTAACAAGCAGTACGACGCGGACAGGCGCTTGTTCCTGAACGTGTCTTTTTTTTCACAGCTGTTTCTTTTTTTTACTGAAAAATTCAACCAGTTTCCCGCCATGCAAACTACCAAGCTGTAAAGCGTTTTGTGCACGCGCCTATGAGAGCAGCCAGTGAAATTAAGATCATCATCATTATCATACGCGAAATTCGAAGAATCATTTTTTTCACCGCCGTGATTTTCTTTTATGGAGTTTGTTTTTAGTCCAACCTCTGTGATGCTTTATCTGTGCGACAACTACAACAACAGTGATAGCATGGTGTAGACCGGAAAAAAAAAAACATTTTGCTGTAGAAACATTCTGGCTCTTCGTTACGTTTTGCTACTCATTTTGATGGCTAGTCACTTATCGGAATGCGTCTTTTCTTTCTGATATTGCGATTGTTTAGGCGCGTTCTCTGTCACGAACCGAACAGCCTCAATACACCGCCGATGGCAGTATGCGTGACCTAGATTTCACTAGGAATTCCGAAATATTTTAGCTTCTATTCATAATGAAGATTTTAAGAAACTTCATGTGGCAGTGCAGTGTAGCTCTGTTGGCGTCCAGTGATATGAACAAGATAGAACGCTAAGTAATTGAAAGCTTTTCTACTCATTGGCTACCGTGTGACGTGACGTTTTTCGCCTTCATTCAGTATATCTAACTAAAGTATATCTAACTAAAGGCTACAGTGTGATGTGACGTTTTTCGCCTTCATTCAGTATATCTAACTAAAGTGAGTGCTTTTATTAACCTCTGGCCAGACCTGTTCTTCTCTGCGCTAAAGCACTTATATCCCCACAACGTACTAATCACGACAAACTGTCCGCGACTGTGTGAAGTGTACATCACCTTTATTAAACTCTATTCTCTGGAAATCAAATACAAGCTCGTATTAGCGTGACTTATGCATGTTTTGGTGATTTATTGAAATACTTATTTCATTCAAAAACTCATGTTTGTTTTGAAGCCACATACATACCTTTACGGGGAAAGATTGAAATATCTGGACTGAAGTGCATTCTGAACTTTTTGTTATTTGGGCTTATGGCGAGTAATAATGTTCAGCAAATAAAATTAAGCTTTTGTCGTTACTGTCAGGAGGCATCACTGTTGCTTCTTGTGAACCATCACGATATTCATATTCCATGGTTCAAATGAAGTAAATTATTTTTTGTCAAAATTGGCTATTGGTTCCAAGTGATCTATGTTCATGTGCATTATCGTTCGCTGACACATTTGACAACAACGATAGTGACATTGTTGTCATACCCACTTGTTCTGGGAAGTTGTTGATTATGTTTACAGCATTGCGGTTCTTCATGTTCGTAATTGGCGACCTACAGGTGAGCTAAATTTTACATTCCGCACAAATAATTTACTTTGGCAACAATATGAGCTTTTGCGCATTATCGATAAAAAAATGAAAGTCTCGAGGTAAGACATTCAACACAAGAATGCTTTTCGCGTTTGAAAATAAATCATACCTTTAGCTGTTTATTTATGAAGACGTCACTTTCTTTTTATTACTAATTTCTAGGAAATCTTTATAGGCTTTGGAAAAAATTTAGTTAGCACTGCGTTTTGTTCTTTCTAAATGACTCATGAAACTTTTGTGTGGCGGCTCGTATTTTTAATGATATGCACGTTCAGCTGTCTGGATGATAGGCTGCCACAATAGGGTTCAAAAATTAGAGGCTGGGGAAGATGGAAGCTTGAGACCAAACAGTGGTTGTGTCGAAACATCTGCTCCACACAACTCCTGTTTACAGATTTTTCATCACAATAGGGTCCTGCCACATCAGTGGCAAATGTGGTGACTGCGAAAACAGTTTGTCGCAACACTCGAAGAACACCGAATTTCTTTTGTGCTGCATTTAACCCTCACTCCTGACATCTCAAAAGGCTACGTGTTATCGTTTAACTGAGCTGGCGGATACTGCGAGTAATCTGGTTCAATTTCAAGAGTAATTGGTGCCAGCTGATTACGTGAGAGCCATGCATGCCACGATATTTTGGCCGGTGAACAGGTAACATATCATTGCGTCGTCGTTATAAATTTGAAATTGTGTCGTTGAAAACGCTGAAGTAGTCTCACGAAGACTCACCGTGGTTATTGCGATAATCACGGTTTTTTGCTAGGGTACCTAACTGACTGCCCTTTAGAGTCGTTGTTTTAATTGCAAAGTGGTCTCCCCTTTGGGAGTGTTTCATATATCAGGCTCCTAATTGAAGCAGAGAGTCACGGAACTGTGATTATTGTAAAATTGTTTAACAACCCTGAAGTTTGTATGTTTGACATGTTGAACGTTCAAAACGTGGTCATTATAAAGATTCAAAAAGCGAGCCTCAGGTATGATGCACAAATATTGCCCTTTTTTTCTGTGTGACATGCAATGATAAAGGGCACAGGAATTGGCGTGAGCCAATTTGCTTGAATTTTTGCGCATCGTCTCCTTTTTTTTTCTGGCTGATTTTCTACCCTCTAGCGTAAGCTAGCACGTCAAGAAAGTGGGGTAGGTTGGTGAGACACCACCTTCACTTTTTTCTCGCTCAAACTGTGCAGAAGTTCTTTCACGGTGCTTTTTCATTTATTCATTTTCTTTCTTTGCTACAGACTTCGACACCTATCGTTTAACTGGGCATTTGCATGCCAATGTCGATCCTGGACCTATACAATTTGCGGGCAGTAGCTTTGTTTTTTTTGCAAGAGCCATAGACAAGGCTTTGAATCGCCAGCAGCCTGATGAGTTAGCCAAATGGAGCTATTCTGGACTAACAACGTAAGTTGCTTAATTTATATTTGTTCCTTTTAAATCGAGAAACAAATATTTTTTTAAACTGAGAAGGCATTATCCACAAAGTGTCCACTTAGTTGTTTTCACATGGAAATGGATTGTATTTGTTGGCTTATTTTAGACTAAAAAGCGAACGAGCCTTGCAGGAGGTGCCTTATGCCTAATGAGGGGCTAGGTGGCTAGTGGGTTGCCATGAGTCCGGCCATTCGTCATCGTTGTCTCAAACATGGTACTTGTATGTTATGCAGTCCGTCTCAAAGTGGCGTATTTTCTAGCAGAAATTAAATGCTGAGTGAAAAATTGATGTGCCTTGCAAAACAGAACTATTTGCCTAAATTCAAAGGGACAATGCATGACTATCTGTACAAGTGTAACTCCTTCAAGTATCCTGTATTTGTGTACTGGTGAATGTTATGGCATTTTTATTTTTTAGCCTTCTGTAAGAGGGCTATGTCAAAAGGGTTAACATCGCTGTAAAATAAGTAGAAAACTATCACGTTTCGAATAAATAAAAAAAACAAATACATTGTGTGGGTTCCTGCTGGAGCTTAAATTTAGCTCGTTCACCTCAAGACTCAGTACACTAGCTGGTGATGCATGAAGCTTGCCAATATGAATACTTGACATACGGTTTCAACCAAGTATTGACAGGAAAACCCAAATAAAGGTTTGTAATGTGACATGGTGTTTCCACCCCTGTATTGTAGTGGTTTCGGTGCTAGGCTGCTGTTATGAAAGTTGTGGGTTCAATGAAGGTGAAATGGTAGAGGCCCGTGCACTAAGTAAATTCCGCACCCGTTAACAAACAATAAATGGTTTAAATTTGCGGATCCCTCTACTAGGGCACCCCTCATTATACTATCGTGGTTTGTGGATTTGAAACCTCACTATTGTTAATTTCACACAGTGAATTATGGGCATTTGGTTTTCAAAAGACCCAACCATTTGTAATTTGTTTTCCTTCTTTTTTACCTGTGCACTTACATTTCCGCATGGTCCAACGACCTGCAACGCATATGTGAGCATACCGTCTATCTTCTAGACACGATTTTATTCATACCTCAGCAGTAATGCAGTGTATGAAGGACATGTGTAGCTGCATCTGCTATCGGTAGATAGTACTTACGATATTTTCTAGAATATATTTTAGCAAAATGGGTATTCAAGGTGGTGTCGTCACTTGAACTTCTTTTGTGCGGTTTCTCACTTGCCAATAGCCTAATATGTGGTGTCATTCCTTGTGAAATGGTAATTTTCTTATACCACTAATGCTAGCGTGCTCTTCGTCGTATATTTAAGGCGCAATAGCTTCGAAATGACACTTACCTGAGTGAAATTGGAGTCGTGTCATTTCAAATCATTTCACCAGTGGTGAATGCAGAGGCTAAATAGAAGGAAAACAAATTAGAAAAGGTTGGGTCTCAATCTTTGAAGTCAACTTTTTTCTGGCACATACACGTCCCAATGTTGGTGACCCGTACAAGTCTTAGCGTCAATCCTGTGCATCGACGCCGTGAAGGCTACAGCCGAGGCACGATGCACCTACATGGTCGAACTTAGGCAGCCGTTATTTTGTACAGCTGATAGAGAACTCTGCCTCCTATAGGTGGAAGTTCAAAGCCCCATCTGACGCACAACTGCCGGGCCGACAAATTAGCATGACGTGGTCCCTAGTCTCCTGTGTGCAATGGTCACCGCAGTAGGAAACGTGGTCGTGGCTCCACTAGTGATGGTTGAGCAAAACAACGCTCTGGCAAGGGCTCATAATTCTAAGCTATGTTAGCGACTTGGAGACATCGACGGTTTTTGCGTGGCTGTGTGCTCGGCGATTTGAAGTCTGGCCATTTGATGCGTCGTAACCGGCAGCTACTCGCCTAAATTATCACCGGTGTAGACAGTGTGCAGCTCCCAACACTTTCGTCCAAGCGCTCCCAACGACCACAGGGTGTGTGGTTTTCACGCAGTGTTCCGACAAAGAACTCTCGAAGCTCGCCGAACTAGCTAACTTATTTAACACGATGGTCGCGCATTCTATCGCGCACGTGCAAATAAATATTGGTACTTCCGCATGGTCCAACGACCTGCAACACATATGTCAGCATACCTTCTATCTTCTAGACGTGATTTCATTAATACCTCAGCAGCGGTGCAGTGTATGCAGGCCATGTATACTGCAGATGAGGTGCGACAGACGACACGCTGGAAGCACGGTAATGTAGCTCAGAAATTCGTCCCACCCGGTCAGTACGCATGAAACAACCACAGTCAATACTGAGAGCCACAAGTATGCTAGCTATTCCAGAGTGTTGCCCATCGCGGTTCTATCCCACCGACTGTAGCTGTTGTTTGTGGCGCCAGCGCTAATGTGAGCGCGGCGACGCCGTTGGTGGCTGGTGAGCTCCGTGTCTTCATTGCATTCTCTCATCAAGTGGTCAACAACACCACTTTTGCCCCCAAAGGACAGCGTTACTACCGCGCAACTTAGATTTGAAAGGAGCAACTAGATACATTTATTCATGGCTGAAGCAAGAATTTGTTGATAAGAGGAGCAAACGCCTCGTAGAGCTCGTGTAGCAAACAATGGTGCAAGGGAAATGCTCAAAGTACCCTGCAAAGAGTCCTATAGGCTACTAGGACTAGTTGGAAGCTGACGTTTCACTGGAATTTGGTAATGCGGTCCCCGAGCTCACTAGGCAGCCAGCAATGAAGCTGCTTCAACACTTCTTCGAAGAAACGAAGGTTTGTGACGACTACTGAGTGGACAAATGTTAAAAGTGAGCATGGCGTCTACGTGTTTATTTTGCCCGTAGGAGAGCTTTTGCTCTCCCCCATGCAGGACTGTATATATGTTTATATGCTATTGTTTTTTATTTTCTTTATTCATTCCAATCAAGTCGAAAGGGGTAGCCATCGCTAAGTAACGGGGACAAAAACTCCTCAGTTTATTTTCTATTTCAATAAAAAAAAAACAGCCAGCGTTTCACCGAAGGACGAGAAGCGCCCTTACATATCGAAAATAATACCACCTGTATACGTGAAGCCTCATCACATGTCTCCCGAGAGCTTCGAAACCACTTGGAATGAGTTGAATCATATGCTGGAGTTTGGGATTATCACACCCTCGCCTGTGGCCACTGAATCTCAAATTCATATGGTCGCAAAGTTTGCACTAGGGGACCGGTGCCTGTGTGGAGACTACCGGACGCCTAATAGAGTTACGACAGTAGACAGGTGCCCAATGCTGCTTATCCATGAGATCATGTCCAACCTCCGAAGTGCGACCATATTGTAACAAATTTTCCAAGATATACCATTTGCGATCGCAGCTCCAATGTCTTGTTACACATAACAATTGCAACATATACTGTCGGGGCCTCATACGAACTAATAAAAGTTCTTCGAACGCCATTCAGCATCCAGAAAGCTGGTCAGACCTTTCATTCATTCATCGATGGCGCCTGTCATGAATGACGCCATATATGAATTACTGTTTAAGGGTTGCTAAATTAAGGTAATTGGTGTTTACATGCTACAGCATTCGTTGGCAACTACTTTATTTCGTTTATATATGTTTTGTTATTGTTTACATTGATGCTCAAAGTGTTAATGAGAAATGTTGAAAATGCAATGGGACAGTATTCAGAATAGCTAATTTTGTTCTCGATTAGTATCAATGTCTACTTATGTATTTTCAGCATATATATTTACGCTTCAGCATATATTAGGCTTCAGCATATATATTTACGTGTTTTCTCTATTTCTGTACATGGTGGAAGCTTGGTTTTTTCTCGCCACTCTGTATTTTTGGCTTAATGATATTTTCTTGAAGGGCTCCTTGCTGCTTTCACTCCCCGTCAACTCTAATATTGTGTTGTAGCGATAGAAGACAAAGCTTTTTTCTCATCAGCATGCAAGCGCAAAATACTTATTTAGTAGCTACTGTTAAATGTTTTCTCCCATTGATGCAAATGGCTTGTTGTTTTCTTTTGCTTTTCATACAGAGATTACATGAACCACATAAGCATTAGCATATTTGTTTACTATGAACGAGAAGAACTAGCATGGCTTCTAGACGGCCATACTAACAAGCACAACGTCTTCAATGACAGCACCGCTCTTAAGGACTTGCTCGTAATTAACAATATTACGGATGTTTGTAAGTACTGTTTCACTTTTTTTTAATTTAACCACTTATAATATATTAGCAGTAGTCGCTTTAGTCGTCACCGTTTATTTAACTTCCATTGCCTGAGCAATGTTCTGCATGATTTATGTATTTGTTTAAATGCTCCTTGCCTACGAATCCTGTATTGAGAGCCTGGATAGCACTTCTGCAAGGTACAGGCAATTTGATCTTTAAGGTATCAGTACGAAAAGTAGGCAAAATGACTGGTAGTGGGCTCATTTCATGACAGAAGTTGAACGAAGGCTTGAAGCAAAGTTGAAGCGGTGTTTACAACGTAAAATCTTCGTGTCGTTGATAAGAACTACAGGTTGGCAAATTCTCAGAAACTGCCAAATCTAGTAAGTCTATCAACTCCAGGGACTCAAGCAGTAATGAGGTCAGCCTATGCCATGGACGCTGCAAAGGAGACACCCGTGTCTATCATTTGACGATAAACAGAAATACTTAATCGCAGACGAGTTTTTTTTGTAACGTCTTATATGTGCAGAAATTTCTTACGGTTCGATGCAGACACGTTGAGTAGTCTTTGTAAAAGCAGTGATTTTAAAACGAGCAATCAGAGGACAGAGATGATACATGGAGGGTTTAGAGGAGATATTTTGGCAATCAAACAGCTCACATGTGCGAATTTTGAAAAAAAAGTATGCTTGGCTATATTGTGTTTTTTGTCAACAATAACTACAATAAGAAAAATGACACTAAGAGAGCTATCACGAGTAGCTGGTGTTTATTTTAGTACTGCAGCAACCCTAGCAAAGCATTGGTGGTACTAGTATCAGGAGTATACCAATTACAATTTGTTTTACATTGTTTTGGGGCATGCCTATAATTCACTCAATTTAAATGTTCTGATTTTTTCTGTCTGTCTGTCTGTCTGTCTGTCTGTCTGTCTGTCTGTCTGTCTGTCTGCAGTGCACTGCAAGTTCCTGAAACAAGAAAGATTTACTTTCGACTCTAAAGGTCACGTCGGATTTGTAGAATCTACCCCACCATGCCTGACAGGTGAGTTTTTTTTATTCTACATGTGGGTTTGGCTGCCATGCAGCAGGTCATTCAAGCCTATAATTATGCCACAATAACAAGATTAGCTATATGCATGACTGGTCACTTGTGCAGTGATAATAACATCACGCGCCACGCCTGCTGTGTAGTTATGAACAAATAAGATTTCTGCTCAAGCTTTTCTAAAAACCCTAGACACCTAAGAAGAACGATCATAAAAACGCACAGCAAAAACTTGGCACAACAAACAGGCGCTAGCTGCATCACATCAAGCATGCAAGTATCTCTGCTGAACTCACCCGGAGGAGACTAGCATACTTCCACAGTTATTCATGTGTTTGCGTTAAGCGTTTCGTGAAAAGGGTCATTCAATTAGGGTTTTACACTCTCGGCGAGATTTCGCGCCGGCGTCGGCTGGCACATGATTCACTGCATATATATATATATATATATATATATAGGGTGTTTAGAGAATTATGTCCGATATTGTATAAAAATAGAAAAAGATGCTATTTGCTCACTGTATTCACAGTTACTTTCTCTGTAGCAACAGGTATCTTACGAAGGTCGAAGACGTTATTTCGAACAATAATTAGGAGAAGTATCGAATTACCTTTTTAGTTAGTGGAGTTAGGCAGCTAAGTCAAACAAGAGAATTGAAGTCCTTGATGCGAAGAACCAATTGCCACTTTTGGATTTCAGAAAGCTTCTGTAGCAATAAATCGAAATCACCAAAATAACTCTTATTTGTGGGGCAAAACCAAAACCAAAGAATCGTTGAGCCGAACAAAGATACACTACAATGACGTCACTGTTCAAAACAGTGGTTACGGGGGTGCATTTTTTCCCTGTTCGTTATGGTATGTGCGTCATGCGTGTTGTAATGGCGAGGGCAGCCCACACTCACACAATGAAGTCGGTTGATGGTTCATGTAAAAATACTACCTCATTTTGGTTGCGCTCTTGCACGTTTCGGTTTCGGTTTCGCCGCAGAGTTAGAGAGAATTTCAATGATTCGCAACTATAACTCGAGGCCGCGTTTCCAGAACGTGAAAGCAGCAACCGGTTCTTCCTACGGAAGGCTTCAATTCTGCCTTTTTACTTAATTGTCTAACTCCACTACTTAAGAGGTAAATAAGAAACTTCCCTAATTCCTGTTCCTTATAATTAACCCTCTTAAGATGCCTGCCACCACAACAAATACAACGTTCAACACAGCGAGCAAGTAGCGTTTTCTGCAGATTGGACACATTTTTTGAAACACCTTGTATATAGGAACGCAAGAAAAAAAAAATAATCCAGACAAAGACTCCGGCACGTGAAAGCGACCATCGGACCTGTTCCGTGTAAGTGCATGGCGTTATTCACGGACTTGTGAAGCTCCTGCTGCGTGCAAACGGCAAGCTATTTATATGTAGTACTTATCACTGGCAATGCTGAAATCTGGGATACTGTTGTGTTTTCAGCAATACCAGGTAGATGGCGCAATGAGCGCGGTCTCCTAAAAGCCCTACATTTTCGGAAAGTAGCAACGCTCCTTTATCTACGCTGGTTTACTCTTGCTGTACCAGCGATCTCATCTTTTTTCACCCTCGCTTTAGTGGAGCCGCTGCATCCGCAGCGCTGAATGGCTGGGTCGCAGGTGACCCTGACGTGACGTTAAACGTGCGCAGACAATTTTCGTGTGCTTTTCATTCACCGCGCATGCCATGAACCATCGAGGCTTCCGGCTTCGAAAGTTCTTCGGAGTGGAATTTCCAGCTTCGTTTTGCGTGGTATTGCCCAGCGGCTGCGTGTTTTCTTGTGATAGAAAATATATGGACACTCTCGGCTGGATATTGCCGCCGGCATTGGCGTCGATATCATGCACCGTATATGTACACGCATCTATATATATGTAATGCGAAAAAAAATCCTGAAAAAGCTCCCGGCGCGCAGAATCGAACGTGGGACCTCGACATCGTGAAAGCGAGGCGTTAACCACTGAGCCAGCCAGTAGTACGTTGCTTACCGTTCAAACGGCAAGCTATTTATATCTACCACTTACCGCTGATGTGTTTTCGGCATTACCAGAAAGACAGCGCAATGAGCGCACGTCATCACATCGCGCTTGGCGCCCGCTCCAATTTACGCGTACTTTGTCCGGCTCAGAGAAAGGGAGCGACGCTCGCTCGCGCACCCTTATTTCGTGGTGGTGAGGAGTGAGGATTGTACGCCTTAGCTGGCCTTGGGCTTTAGGTGGAACGATTCTGCTGAAGTTACCGGTCGCACAAAGGTCACTTCAATCATGGCAGTTTCCGTTCGAGAAACGCGCGCGCTTCTTAGACTCAGCGAAATAACAAATAAGACGCTTAGTCGCGTGCATCCGTCCCTGTGAGCATGTTTCGTGAAAAATTTGTGAGCGAGAAACAAGGGCTCCTTTCGATCTGATTTCCATTCTGCGTGTGACTTTTCAAATTGTTGCTATTGCATTCATTTATTCGCCTTTGCAGTGAAGCTTTGACTCATAATGTAGGAGCCGATTAGAGAAAACAGCAAACCTATTTTATATTCCCCTTGGCGAACAAAATGCCTTGCAAAAAAACCAGATTAGATTAGATTTGTGGGGTTTAACGTCTCAAAACCACCATATGATTATGAAAGATGCCGTAGCGGAGGGCTCCGGAAATTTTGACCACCTAGGGTTCTTTAACGTGCACCCAAATCTGAGTACACGGAACTTCATCATTTCCTCCTCCATCGGAAAGCAGCCGCCGCAGCCGGGATTTGAACCCGCGACCTGCGGGTCAGTAGCCGAGTACCTTAGCCACTAGACCATCGCGGCGGGTCATTGCACAAAAACCAGGATATGAACAAAGGGAGAAAGAACTTCACCCTTTTCAATGACGTCGTTCTTTGAGAAGTAATTGTTAGGAATTTCCTTATATATGCTTGGATATCAGTACGGAGTTGTATGAAGGTTGTAGCGCTCATTGCGTAGCTCGACTGTTTGTTGAGTTGAATAACGAGCAGATATAAATGTAGATATAGCTTTTTTGGAGTGACTCACTATGTTCTGCTCTTTCCCGTGTGCCTTGACAAAGCTTTGTGTTTATATATATATATATATATATATATATATATATATATATATATATATATATATATATATATATATATATATATATATATATATATATATATATTGTAGTGGGGAATTCGCAAAGCAATGCCTAGTGGAACCATCTCTAAGTGCGAAGCGCAAGCGTGTGCGCGAGCTGTTGATGATTGATTTGTGGGGTTTAACGTCCCAAAACCACCATATGATCATGAGAGACGCCGTAGTAAAGGGCTCCGGAAATTTAGACCACCTGGGGTTCTTTAACGTGCACCCAAATCTGAGCACACGGGCCTACAACATTTCCGCCTCCATCGGAAATGCAGCTGCCGCAGCCGGGATTTGAGATGTGTGCACGAGCTGTAGACGCTAGACTGCTCCTAGAGTATTTTTGTCTGTACTGGCTGTCTGCCAACTACCTGGCGTCGCTATTAGACTACCTGGCAAAATGGTGCAAGTCTGCTGGGTACGCAAATGTGAAAAAATGCCTGATCAGACGACCTAGCAAGGCACCACCCTGCAAAGCACGGCCCATTCTCAACTGGGCATCGTGCCTACCACCCTGCGCCAACGGGTTACCCCATTCTTCAGCGGCACCGAAGACCAAGATGTGGAAGACTGGTTCTATCTGTTTGAAAAGATGTTTCCCCAGCAAGTGGTACGACCACACGAAATTGGAGTGCCGCCATCAAGTGGTACGACCCTTTGAAATTGGGGTATGTCTCATTTCTTTTCAAAGACGTCACCAGCCTGTGGTTGACAAACAACCGTGCTGATTTTGCCACTTGGGCCACTTTCAAGACCACCCTTGCAGCTGTGTTCGATGGCCCCGCAGTGCGAAAGCTGCGTGCTGAACAGCGCCTATGTGGACGTGCGTAAAGGCAGGGCGAAAGCTTCACGAGCTATATTGAAGATGTTATCGATTTATGCCGGAGCTTTAACCCTGAAAAAACCAAACAAGACATGATCAGGCATATCTTGAAAGCCATATACGATGATGTTCTTCAAATGTTGGTGGCGAAGGGTCAAAGTACCCTATCCGAACTTGTGATCTTGTGTTAGAGCTTGGAAGAGGATCGCAAACAACAACAACGTGCATCAGTTCGGATGTCGACGACAGCAGACGACTCTCTCGCTGCCATGGCTGTTGGTGACAGCACCCTGCTGGAACAGATAAAAGAGGTGTACGCGAAGAGGTCGCACGGGAGCTTTCGTGTCTCTCGTATCTGCCGACCACTGAAGCACCAACAAACCGCCTAACGCCAACCATCAGACAGGCTATTCAGGAGCAGGTCTACTAGGCGTTGCCATTACCTACGTCTGTCTCTCCACCAACACCTGTTGCTACGCCACTGACTTTTGCGGTCGTCGCGGCAACGCCGCCACCACGTCTGCCGTTGTATACGCACCAACCTATGCGACCGTCCACCGCGCCGTTTCCAGCTACGCAGCAACACTCCGGAAATCTTTGGCGCTCTGCTGACAACCGGCCCATATGTTACTTTTGCGGAATTCGAGGCCATGTTGAACATCATTGCGTCGGTGCTTCGCAGTGAACGCACCAACATACCCAGACTACTTGTTTTGGCCTCCATTTCATGCACCTCTGGTGCCACCTGAAGTTCACGAACGTGACGCGCAATCTGCTTCCAGCGGCCAGTTTGTTCCTGCCTATTGTGCTTAACTTTCTGACGCTACCTTCCTATTCATGCCATCTGAAATCTTCGGTAGCCGCCGCCACACATCACTAAAGTTTGCCATTATGCGCTTTGTCAAGACACAACCGGATTATTTATTTCCAATCCCAACTCGTGCCCCCTCAGTTTGCACTGCAACGAGACGCTCGGCCACATTACGCCTATCGATGAAGGTTTTATCGTGCCTGCCGATTTCTTAGACACCA